GGGGGGGAGCGCTCCAGCCGGCCGGCCGCATCCGCTGCGCCGGAGCCGGACGGCTGCCCCGTGTGCGTGTGGCGGCAGCACAGCCGCGAGCTGCGCCTGGAGAGCATCAAGTCGCAGATCCTGAGCAAACTGCGGCTCAAGGAGGCGCCCAACATCAGCCGGGAGGTGGTGAAGCAGCTGCTGCCCAAGGCGCCGCCGCTGCAGCAGATCCTGGATCTGCACGACTTCCAGGGCGACGCGCTGCAGCCCGAGGACTTCTTGGAGGACGACGAGTACCACGCCACCACCGAAACGGTCATAAGCATGGCCCAGGAGAGTAAGTGGGCTGCGGGGTGCGCGCGGTGCAGTCTCGGGAAGGACTCGGCAGCCCTTTCTGCGAAAACTTGACGGATTGGGGAGCCGGGCCACTCCACACAACTTTTTTGAGCGGTGAAGATGGGCAGTGGAGTTGAGTGCACGCCCCGTCGGGGGTGGGGGAAGATAACGCGTTGGGGGAGGGGGCAAACTGGGCAGATTATTTGATACTGCTTCCCACCTCTTGTGCAAAAAGATCCAAGCTGAAATAGTCCTAGAAACTGGCACCCAGCAGCGACTCTCCTGAATCGTAGATGGGAGCTTCCGTGACCCGTGCAGCCCCAGCTGGGCCGCAATGCCATCTTCCCATTGCCCCGGCACCAGCACCGACTCCCTGCCCCGTGCTCCAAAAGGCGCCCACGAGGCTGCGGAGAAGCCCACAAGCATAGAAGCCAGCCCGGGTGTCCCTCTCAGCAGCCCAGCTGGCTGACACTTTTCTCTCCTGCACCTGATCTCAGGCTGGGTATCCCCCCAGGACCTAGATGAGCGGGTCCTTCCTGTTACGGAACGAGCTCGAATAACTCAACTCCACTGTGCTTACGACTTAACGAGTATCATTTGGTTACTCTCACCTTAGTGTTCTGTTCCTTATCCCCTGTCCTACCCACAGCTGGAGCCAGAGAAGACCCGGGGAGAAAGAACTAGATGAGGGGGATGGGAGAACCCAGGCATCCGAGCCCCTGGCCAAACGGAGGATGAACACTGATAGACATGAATTGCTTTGAAATTTTATGGCCTGGAAAATCCAGGCCAATACTACCGCCCCCACTGCCTGCTCTCCCTAGGGTCAGGTGACTCCCCTTCCCCTTCCCCTTCCCCCACCGACTGTCGTTACCTCCCCCCCCCCCAACTCCAGGGAACCAGGCTTTCACTATTCCCTAGTGGTTTGGCAAGCCCCCTCCTTTGGTTTTATGGCTCTGAACAGAAGTGGGGGGGGTAGACTGGTTTATTGGCAGATGGGTCATAAAAAGCTGGGGGCTGTGGGAAATCCTAGTGGCCCACCCCCATGGGAGAGGTACAGAAACCCAGGTGTGCATCTGGAAGGCTGAGTGCCTGGCACTGCCACCCAGTTTCTGCAGAATTCAACTTAGGGTTGTAAAGAAAACTCCAAAGAACCAGGAAACTGTGTGTGTGTGCGCGCGCGCGCGCGCGCGCGCGCGCGCGCGCACGTGTGTGTGTGTGTGTGTGTGTGTGTGTGTGTGTGTGTGTGTAGGTGTGTGTGTGTAGAGGCATGGAGATGTGATGTGGGGTTCTCAGTCTCCCTTATACTTTTGGAAACCAGGGTCAGTCAGAGGTTGACTAAGGGGAAAGGTTGACGGGAAAAGCAGTCTAGAAAACAGTTGTAGAGAAATCATGAACCACCTAAACATTTCTGGAAGAGGAAGGATATATAGAGGAAAGATAGTTCGGTCTGTGTAGGGCGAGGAGCCCCGCTGTAGGCTTCCGGCTGCCCTTCACTACCCCTAGCCTCCCTTAACCAGAAGGCTTGAGCCCAGAATTAACTCTGCTAGCGGGGAGCAGCAGGAAGTGAAGGCACTCTGAATGCACGGACTGGGCAGTTGAAGGTAGGCCTGGGGCTGGGAATGTACCAGGAGACGAGGCTGGGTCTCACCCTAACTTCCATTTTAGTGCCACTCCAGGACTTGGGTAACCCAGGAACTGGGTTTCAAACCAGGTATTGTACTTCCCCTTTAAGAGTCTAACTGCGACCTTAAGAGAGGGAGGGGGAGTAGAGGGGAGGGGAGGGAGGGAGAGAGGGGAAAAGGAAAAAGAGACTTTTATAGTCTAATCCCCAGGGACCGGCTTTAATAAGAGACTTGTGCTCTGCTAATCGGGGGAGGTGTTTGTCAGCAGAGATGGCCTCTGCTCCCCTCCCCCTGCCTCCCCTCCCCCAGCCAACCCGACCCCAGCCCCCACCTTTCCTAGGCTGTTGGGCCTGCCCTAGTTCCCTCTACCCTCTCACTCTCCCACCCCAGCCTTCATCCCTGGGAACCCAGCCCCCTGCTCTTCTGGGAGCCAAGCCCAGCCCCTCAGTTTGTCACTCCTGTGCACACTAAGAGGCCCCTGCCCTCTCACCCAACCTCCTGCCCCTGGGCCATCCAGCCTGAGTTAGGAGAGGGTGTGTGATGGGGTGGAGGCTGTAAGCAGAGAGGGGGTTGGGCCTTTGCTGGAAATAGTGCAATGACCTCTCTCCCCCACCAGCACCGCCTACTAAACCTGACCTGCTGCCTGCCACCAACCAAATCAATCCAACACAGATGTGGCCCCTTCCCCTCCCTACCAGAGCTCCATAGCTTTACCTGCTTCTTTGTTCCTTCTTCTGCACCTTATCATCTCTTCTTTATCCCACTAGGGTTGACTTTGTCCTACCTTTGCCCTCTTAACCCTGCCCACTCCACTCCAGCCTACCCAGTGTTCTCCATTTCCCAATCATTTTCTTCCCTTAGTTCGATCTACTTGTCCAGTGGCTCTGCTGGTCTCCTCTAACCTCTTTCCTTTCCCTACATCTTGTCCCAAGAAACATTCCCTGCAGTAGAGTTAGAGGAACCCTTGTCCAAAGGAGCCAGACTTAAGAGGCCTATCCCATTACTCTGTCTCAGCTTTCAGTGGGATGTTTAGTTTATAAAATGAACATTTATTGAGAAGCTATTATTTTTCACATTATGTAATGCACAGCATTATCTGTACCACACTGTGAAGCACAGTGGGTCAGATACCAACATGGTTAAAACTACTTTGGGTCCTTCCGGAAGAGTCTAGGAAGAACCTGCCATTCAACATATACTTACTGCTTGACATTATGGGAGGCACAGTAACTACAATGGTGATAAAATACATTCTCAAGACATCAACCATCAAAGAGATAAGTACCTAATGGCAAGAAACAGATAATTCTAGCTGGACCTGGTAGTACCAGCATGTAATGCTAGCTACTCAGGAGGCAGAGGCAGGAATTTCTGAGGTTCAAATCCTGCCTGAGGTATAGAGTACAAGGCCAGCCTGACCCAAATAGAAAGGGAATGTAGCTCAGTGGTAGAGAACTTTCCTAACAGCTGCGAGGCCCAAGGTTTGCTCCCTAGCAATGCTTGTATATACTATAGGCTAGCTATTAGACATGGTATGCACCTGAATTATTGTCACTTCTGATTTCAGTAGTATCTTTCCTGCCTCAAACTACCTTCCTAGTCTCTGACTGCCCACTCCTCACCCCACTGAACCTTACGGGAGAACTGTGAGAACACTGGGATCTGGGGAGCACAAAGGGAAAAGACGCTGCAGGACATGGTGTGCTGTGTTTTGAGTAGAGTCGCTATGTACTTTCTTCCTCGACACACTTGCAGAGTCCTTCTCCTGGGGTGAGAGAGAGCTAAGCAGAGACAACAGATGGTAGGTTCTCCATGACTATGTTGATGCTAATGCTTGGTTGTGACAGGCAAGGGCCTAGACTTCATCCATACTCACATGGCTCTGGAACAACCTCAGTTCAGAGTCTTTCTATCTAGGGTAAGAATGGACACACCTAAGAATGGACTCATGGTGTAGGCATCTCTAACCCACTTAGGATAGGAGAAGCTGGGCATAGTGGTACCTGCTGTAATCTCGACACCTGGGAAGATGAGACAGGACTGCTGTGAGCTGAGGTCAGCATGGGCTACTTAGTAGCTTCCAGGACAGTCAAGGACACATAACAAAATCCTGTCTCAAAACAACATAGACTGAGAAGAGCTTAAGAAAAACTGAGAGAAGCAGAGGAATACATTGAGACCCATCCTTGAGACTCTTTAAGATCTTTAAGTTGTAATGCTACACCTTTGTAAAGAGCTAGAGGCACTGCATTGAGCAGAGGGAGCTCAAGGGGAAAAGATGGCTACCAGTATGTTGAATATTATTTCTGATACTCTGGACAAATAGGAGACTTCAAGTTTTTCCTTCCTGGAAGGCTGGGTGTGTCCACTGGCAATGAGGAATCAGCAGAGAATGCTTGTTCTTAGGGAGAGGAATGGGGGACCAGAAACTTGGGAAATGCTTGGTTCTGAAGGATGTGCTACTGGGAATAAGGGGCCTAGACCTGATCTGCTTTATAAATCCATCTCTCTGGAGCCTGGGTTACTTCCTCTGATGCCTCCTTTGGTTCTTTTTGGGGGGAGTGGACTGCTAGGCTCCTCCTGCTCACTAGGGCAGAAATGGGGTAAGGTAACTTGAGGACAGCAGGTATAGTAAGAGGTACAGCTTCTATGAAGAACATATAATCTTCTGTGAAGATTCAGACAAAGCTGGAGACCAGCTGAGAAGCACTGGAGGCACAGAAGGCCCCAGACAGAGAAGATTCCGTAACTATCTTAGCAGGTCATTTGGTAGATGGATCCATTTTGTTAGGAGAAATGGTATAGGGAATGGGTATAGAGCAGTTAAGTCTAACAAATTTATCATCCTAGCGATAAGACAGTTTTAGGTACCAGACATAGCCAACAAGATAGACACAGGAGAAGGGTAACGAAGAATTGGAAAACAGGCTGAGAAGAATCTGCTACAGCCACCCGAGGCTGCTGAACCCCCCCAAACACCCTTTGCTGATGCTGTGCCCCCTTCTCTCTTATCAGCGGACCCTGCAGTGCAGACAGATGGCAGCCCTCTCTGTTGCCATTTCCACTTCAGCCCCAAGGTGATGTTCACAAAGGTACTGAAGGCCCAGCTGTGGGTGTACCTTCGGCCTGTGCCCCGCCCAGCCACAGTCTACCTGCAGATCTTACGACTGAAACCCCTAACTGGGGAAGGGACCGCAGGGGGAGGGGGTGGAGGCCGGCGTCACATTCGTATCCGTTCACTAAAGATTGAGCTACACTCACGGTCCGGCCACTGGCAGAGCATCGACTTCAAGCAAGTGCTGCACAGCTGGTTTCGCCAGCCACAGAGCAACTGGGGCATCGAGATCAACGCCTTTGATCCCAGTGGCACAGACCTGGCTGTCACCTCCCTGGGGCCAGGAGCTGAGGGGCTGGTGAGCAGGGGGCCTGAAGTGGTGGTGGATATATGGAGCCTGTCCCCAGGAGATGGGGTCAGAAAGAGTAGATCAGGAATGTGAAGGTTGGGGCCAGGAGCTAATTCCAGAGGAGGTGGGGTGGCAACTATCACTTTTCAGGGATTCAAGCCAGGTAACAGCTGAAAACTATAACTGGATTTGGGGTTAAGGTGTCAGTTAGTGGGAGATCCGTGGGAACACAAAACTGACCCTTGTCTTGGCTTGGTGTTATCTAATCCTAGCACTAGGGAGGCCGGACAGGAGGATCAGGAGTGCTAGACCATTTTCTGTTACTTGCCAAATTTGAGGTCAGCCTGAGCTAGATGAGATCCTGTCTCAAAACAAAAACAAAGAACCTGGCCCTCGATGAGGCCCTTGGCCAAGAATCTGATGAAGCACATTGCCAGAAAAGGAAGAATTAGGGAAAGTGAACAGAAGAAACAGCTAGATGGCAAGAGAAGTGGGGAGAAGGTCTGTGGGTGGGAGCAGTGAACTAGGGAAGATGTCAGTGGTTTCTGGTCTGATGCTCCTATTGAGGTGCAGGTAGGAAAGTAAGAGGTAAGAGAAACTGTTCAGGGCTATGTCACATCTCTTTCCCCTCTCCCTGACCCTCAGCATCCTTTCATGGAGCTTCGAGTCCTAGAGAACACAAAAAGGTCCCGGCGGAACCTAGGCCTAGACTGCGATGAGCACTCAAGTGAGTCCCGCTGCTGCCGATACCCTCTCACAGTGGACTTTGAGGCTTTTGGCTGGGACTGGATCATCGCGCCTAAGCGCTACAAGGCCAACTACTGCTCCGGCCAGTGCGAGTACATGTTCATGCAAAAGTATCCACACACCCACTTGGTGCAACAGGCCAATCCAAGAGGCTCTGCTGGGCCCTGCTGCACCCCTACCAAGATGTCCCCAATCAACATGCTCTACTTCAATGACAAGCAGCAGATTATCTACGGCAAGATCCCTGGCATGGTGGTGGATCGGTGTGGCTGCTCCTAAGGTGTGGGCTACAGCGGATGCCTCCCTCATAGACCCGACCCTAAGAACCCCAGCCCTGGTCCCCATTCCCCAAGCCCTAGAAGCACCCCCCACCTCTTCCCATGAACATCACACCTTGTTCCCTGACCAAGCAGTGTGCAATACAACAGAGGGAGGCAAGTGGGGATGGAGTGGTGAGGGGTTGGGAGAAAGGAAGGGCAGTCAGGGTGGAATGTATCTGAGTTTGCAAGTGAGAAGGTTCGGCAAGATGACAGATGTAGAGACAGAGGAAGAAGATGGAAGGATAGAGACAGAGGAACAAACAGCAACACTGAGAAGGCAAAGGAATAGAGGCACAAGGATTAGGGACTAGGCAAAGGCACATAAGGAGAGAGACTGAAATGGGAGTAAAATGAAAGCCCTGCCCCAAGCCTTTGCTTTTCCACCAGCAAGGTGAGAGGCTTGGAATAGTTTGCGGAGTTCCCCTGACAACTCAGTAGGAGTAAATCAAAAGTCCATTCTTAGCTTCTTCCCTTTCTCCTTCCAGAGTAGCCAAAAGTGGCATGAGAATGGGGCAAAGTAAGGACCTGGGTTTTTTTTTAATTTATTTATTTATTGTGACTTTTCATTTTTTGGTATTTGGCTTTACTGGAACGGGAGGGACCTTGCCCACTGTGCCCACTGGTCCCTTATTCCCCACACCCCGCTTTTTCCCAATACCAACCTACTTAAGCACTTGTATTAAGCCTCCAGGGTTGGGAATGGGAGTAAAGAGCAAGAGGGGTGACACATGGAAGTTTCTAACTCACAACCACCCTAACCAACCTTCTTGAGCCAAACGGGTTGAACTAAGTGGTCATGGAAACAGAAAGAAGTTCAGACTTAAGAGCTGGGGGTGAGGGGACCTCAACATCCAGGATATATGAGCTACTAAACTACCCCTCAGGCCTACCTTATTCATGGCATTATTTAGCTAAAGGGTACAGCCTACTTATCCCAAATCCCCTCGGCCAAGAGACCAAAGAGCCTGTGGAATGTCCCACTCTCAGCCTCTATCTTCAGGTCAATAAAAAGTAGAAATCCCAGCGTTCCCAGGACTGGGAAGGGTTAAGGGTCAAGAAAATAGTAGAGGCTGAAGGTTACAGGGCATCTGAATCCAAATCACTGCTCTAGGCTAGGGAATACAGCCAGCAGACCAAGGTGGAAGGGATTCTGAAGTGGGGGGCATTTTAGTCTCCCTAACCCAAAGCTCAGGTGGAAGGAAGAACAAGGGAGCAGAGTGTCTATAATTCTTATCTTTTATTTTTTGAATATAGCAGTATCTGGCAGCAGGGAGAAGACAGTACTATAGGGAAAGACATGTGACAGGGCCAGTTACAGCAGAGGATGGGAGAGGAAGGAGACTCTGGTTTGGAAGGCTTAGGAAGCAGGCAAGAGACTAGTTGCCACTTCAAGTCACTAACTGGGCCCATTCGTTCCTCCTGTAACCCTGACCCACCCTCCTCTGAACTCACTGTGCCTCAGTTTCTTCCCCTTGATGGATTGAGAAACAGCAGCACCCGCCACAGCCAAGAGATGAATTCTGAGCACTTACCACGGGCACTTTATGGACATAAAATACCTCTCGCTGTGGGACTAGATAACCAGGGCACCACAATGGTGGTGAAGAGATGTGAGGCTTACAGGAGTCACAGGCTTCAGAGTACAAGTACCCCTCTGCCTCTCAGCTGGACAATGCCTGAAGCCAAGGAGCTGAAAATCTCCACACCCTAACCATACCTCAAGAGTGGCCTCTTGGCTCTAGACAAGAGTCTTAAAGAGGATGGGGGGGGGTAGGAAGAAGGGGAGATTACAGCAAAATGATCACTAATACAGCTACAGTTCTGGTAGAAACTGGACTGACGCCTGGCCAGGAAGGTTTGTATGTCTAAGCATGTTTCTCTCACTTTGGCCAGATCATAGAAAGGACAAAGTTATATGACTATCCTCACCACCTAACTCCTATTCTCATACTGAGAAAAAGAGGTAAGGTGTCTTCAGGAGGACAGACAGGGGTTCTTAAGCCTTCCAACTCACTCCCCATGTAGCAGCTGTTAGTCCCAAGCCTCTCCTCTCTGGCAGTTCACCCTTTTTCCCCCCACCCCATCTTAAAGAACAAGACACATTTGACCATCAACACCAATCATATTTCCTTGGTGCAGGAGTGGAATAGAAAAGCAGAGAGGATGCTTTCCTCCAAGGTCAAATGCTTCTTGATCTTGGAAAAGGTAAGGGTTGGACAATTAGATATCAGGTAAACTTCTCTATAGTTTAGAGAGCTGGGGCATTAACTTCAATTATTGCCTCTTTATTACCACCAAGTAAATACCTTTCCAGGGGAAAGACGCTGTCTTACAAATACAAACCTGAGTCAAGCCTCAGTTTTCCGGTCTTTTCTATCTCCTAAGAGGCTTGAGGACATGGCCTAGCACTCAGTGGGAGCTGGCACCTCTTCCTACACTTTACCTGTGTGGACTGGCCAGTGGTCCTCTGAACATATCATTATTAGTGTAATTCTTTACTTTGTGTATTTGTTACATCATGTGTGTGATTGCCTTTGTTTGTTAAGGGTGTTTGAGGAGTATGGGCTGCCAGGGGCATTGGAATGCCAGGAAAGGACTTCTTCAATGAAATCGAGGTTTCCAGAAAGAAACCACTGCAAAAAGGCCATCAGTCAGTTTTCAAGTTATGTGACAGAGGGCAAAGATGGCCAAAGGGTGCTCTGAGTTTTGGGACAGTCACATGACACAATCCAGCACTTGAACCTGAAAAAAGAAAAATAAAAGCAGTCAAAGAGTTTAGAATTCAGTGATGAGCTCTTCTCCCTAATTGAGCGTCACACTTACACCCAGGAGGCCAAGAACTGAAGAGGCTGTAAGAGAAGAACCTTAAAGAGTAAAAGGACTGAGAAGATGGAAGAGCAAAGGAGGGACACTGAGGGCATGGGCGCTGATGTCTGGGAGGGACATGGAGCTGTAACACTGACAGGGGCTGGGACAGCAAGAGGGCTTACAACTCTTCACAGAGCTGGGTATTCCCAAAGACTACAAAAACATGTAGCGCCACAAAATGAAAAACCTAGAAATTGAAATGATCCAGCAGGTCTTTTATTTGACAGTACTCTAATCCTGGCTGCCTCAACAGTATTACCAAAATCAAACTGGCAGCTCCCTATTGTGGTTAAGTATTTCAGACATTTAGCCCACTATAAAAATAAAAACAAAAAACCTCCCCCACATGCCCACAGCACAGTTCCCAAGGCATTACGAGTCAGGGGTGTCAGAATCTTGCTTCAGTCACAGGATTCAATGTACTGCCTGGTTTCTCTGTCCCATTAGTTCCATCAAAGCTTTCCTGCTAATGAGAGGAAAGGGGGCCTGGACCTCTTCTCAGTCTCATTCCCCCCCCCCCCCAAAAAAAAGTCTAACTGCATAAACAGGTGCATTTATATTATCAAAGGCCCAGATTAGTCCACCCCCCACCACACCCCCACCCCCCGGAACCTACTTGTGGGAGTGCAGGGTAGGGGGTGTGTTCCCACTTAGATCTCAATGTTAGTTTAGCAGACTTCAGAGTTAATACTCCCGCAAAGGCTACTATGCAAACTACATTAGGAATGTGTGCTCAGTACATGTGTCATTTAATTCTCGAAGCAACCCTCACAATAGGCTTCTATTGATAAAAGTTTGGAAAGTGTCACAGAGCAACTAAGTAATTTGCCCAGTCAGGATTCAGAAGTAGTGAGGTAGAACAAGAAACCAAACCTAGGTAGTTAACATATAATATCATGTTTTAATCTAATTTAATCTGTTGTTAAGGAAAACTAAATTCAGGAATAACACAAAGTGATAAAGTTGAGAAACAACTTGGATTCAAAGGGCTGGTAGGGTATGAAACCTTTTCCAATGTCTTTGAAGAGAAAAACAAGAAAGAGGTTAGAGATGGGGATATAGGGTAATAGAGTAGCATAAATGGAGTTCCTGCCCAGCACTACATAAAACCAGGATTGATGGCATGGGTCAGTAATCCCAGCACTAGGGAGGCATAAACAGGAAGATCCAGAAATTTAAGGTCACCCTCAGCTAGAGTTCAATTTGAGTCTGGCTTGGGCTACAAGAAACCTCAAAAAGAGAAATAAATTAAAAAAAAAAAAAAAGGTTAGACTTTGGAGGGATTAATAATCAGACATTAAGTGTCACTGTCTATCAGAGGCCTCATAAGTAGTTCAGAAAAAGTTATCCTGCCTCTGCTATCTGAATTCCCTCCTCCCATTTCAGACTTAACAAGTCTTAAAGACTCAAACAAGAAATTCTACTCTTAGACCTTCCTTCACCCCTAGACACTTCTAGCCATCTACTTCAGCAGTTCTGAGCTGGCAGAGCAAAAAAGCACTTTAGGGTGATAGAGGAAAAAAAAAAAATAGTCCCAGAGAACCATAAAAAGGAGATTTATGGCTAAGGAATGTAATTCTCACAGTACCTTGCTCAGACCAGACTCCCTCAAGAAATTCTAAGGAATACCAATGCTGCATCAACTACAATAAGACTGTGTGATAACCGAAGAGTTTGTTTTTGAGACAGGATTTCTCTGTGTAGCCCTGGCTGGCCTGGACTCACTTTGTAGACCTGGCTGGCCTGGAACTCACAGAGATACACCTGCCTCTCCCTCTTGAATGCTGGCACCACGAGGCCCAGAGAGAGAATTCTAAGCCTCAATGTCTGCCTGGCCAAACAAAATGAACTTAGGTTTTAGAGACTAAATTAGTAGAAACATGTAGGCATTCTGTACTGTTCACGCTCACTGTGTGGAGTGACTACAATGAGTACTCAGGTTTAGAAGTTAGGAGAATCTTCTGACCAATATATGAACAACTGGAGAGATGGAACAAAGGACTATTTAAAAGAAAAAAAACCCTACACACTTGAAAAGCACTATAAGAGATTTGGAAAAATCTGAGCACTGAGGTCCACTTTAATCTCAACACTCAATAGGCAGACAAAGGCAGGTAGATCTCTGAGTTTTGAGGCAGTCCAGGAATACAAAATCCGATCTTGTTTTTTTTTGTTTGGTTTTGAAAGAGCTGGGTACAGCAAACTGAGTAAAAACAATGATTACCATCTGGGGCTAAGAAGATGTCTTAGTAAATGCCTGCTGCTCAAGTATAAGGAACCTGAGTTTGGTTCCATATAAAAAGCCATGTCCCAGCAGCATTTGTCTGTAACTCCAGAACTGGGAGGTAGAGAAGGGTGGTCAGTGAAATTATTGGCCGGCTACCCTAGCTACATCTATGAGCTCCAGATTCAGTGTGAGGCCCTGTCTAACAGATTAAAAGGTAATCAAGCAGCAAGAGACCTGATATGGTCCTCTAACCTCAACATGCACACATACCCACACATATAAAACCCCCAATGACAAAACAAACATCCTCCCCCACCCCCGCCTATACACAGGGCCTATTTCAACAGGCATGGTACGTAATCCCATCACTATTAAAAATCCTAGTACTCCGGAGGATGACGCTGAAGGATGCTATGAATTCAAAACCAGCCAGGACTACAAAGTGAGAAACTATCTCAAAAATGAGGGGTGGGGGAATCCAAGGTTAAGATGAATATGCCTCTGAAAAGTTATGGAGAATAAAGAGATACAGTCCATACTGAATGCCTACAGTGATAGCAAAGGACTTTAATCCCAGCACTCAGGAGGCAGAGGCAGGTGAAATTCTGAATTCCAGGGTGGCCTGGTCTATATAGGGAGTTCAGGACATCCTGGGCTACAGAGAGAAACCCTCTCTCAAAATCCACATTAAGGGACCCCTATTAAGGGATAAAAACATTCTATTATCAGCATCTACTTTGTTCCTTCAATATTTACTTGCTTATAACCATCCTAGGAAATAAATCCTATGGAACCTAATTCTGTCTCTTGATATAAAACAGCAATTCTCTATAACTGTTTTCAGATTAAGATACTGGAAAAAAGTAACCGGAGGTTACAGTCTAATGTAAAAAGGGGGTGGTGGTGGGGCAGACAGACAGAAGAGATCATTTATTTGGCTGAGGAGGTGACAACACTAACTTTTTCTTTTATTAGGTCTCAGATGAGACAGATTTCACAGTAAACGGGCAACCTTTAATCTGTTCTCCATGGAAGTTTTCCTAAAGTGTCTAAACTTAGGTCCCCACCTTTCATACAAGCAGAGTCTATGTAGCAGCTGGCTGACTTTGAAACTGCCCATGCCCCAAGACTGCCAACAGACACACATCATGTTCCATGGTACAAGATTTAATGTTAGGAAAGTTAGCTTTCTATTAATCACAAAGCCAGCTAGGCTTTGGTAGAAATAAGGACAAAGATTTTTATCACAGATTATTATTTTATCACAACACAAGATTTAATGATGGTACCAAAGTTTTCTTTTTCTTTCTACCCCCTTCCTTTTTTTTCTTGAAACAACATTTCTCTGTGTAGCCTTCACAATCCTGGAACTCACTCTGTAGACCAGGCTGGCCTCAAACTCAGAGATCCACCTGCCTCAGCCTCTCAAGTGTTGGGATTAAAGGCATGTGGTCCAGTTCACAGTTTTCAAGTAAGGCAACTTTTATGGCCTTTCCAAAAAAATCTCCCAAGGGAGCATTTACTGGCACTGAAATACAAAGATTAAAACGAGAAAGCCAAGGCAGGTGTGGTGGTGCTTGCCTGTAATCACAGCTCTAAGAAGGCGAACAATGCTGACGGGATTCAAGGCCTCCTGGGCTACACAGCATGCCCCAAGCCAGGTGGCAGTGAGACCTGTCTCAAAACCTGGGAGAAAAAAGGGATGTGAGGAGAGAACAACAAAAAAACCCGAAGCATCTTGTTCCACTTATGTCCCAATGACCTTGGAAACAATGCTTAACGTCTCTGACACACAGTCATGTTTTGGATTTCTATACTTCTACTAGCCCATTTTACCTTCTTGAAGTATGTCCCATACAGTGATTTCTGCTACAACAGACAGGGCCATGTCAGGCCCCCATGGAAAACACTAATCTTTTACAATGGATTCTGTTTTGTACAGTTAGGCTTCATTCAAAGCAGAGGATGAGCAGCACCCATCCTTTACATTCCCTAAAGTCCCCCTGGCTCTCTCAACATTGCCTCAGGGCCACTTCCACCTCGGAAGCCAAGGCTTGCGGTCACATGGCTTCATCATGAGAGAGAAAATAAAAGTGTACCTGTGAGTAGGAAGAATATAATAAGTAGGCTTAAAGGGTAGACTTACCCTCTTTTTCTACAGGATAAAGGTATTACAGTTAATTCCCCTAGTATTTGCCATTGACACTCCCTTTATGTGATCTAGTCTGGCCCTAGGAATTTAAAAGGAACACCTAATGAAACACGTTTTCTTTTCTTTCTTCTTTTATTAATAAGCAAAATAATTAAAAACAAAACAAAACAAAAAACCCACAACAACCTTAAATGTAGAGCAGCAATTCAATCCAACTGCTACTGGAATTCAAGGATGTACCTAGGGTACAGGCTTCCTCACTGTGAGGCAGACAACTGTGCGTGCATGTGTACGCGCACGGGTGTGCGTGTGAGTGTGTGTATGTGTATAAACCCAAGAAGAATTTGAGAAATGGAAACCACGATGGGGCAGAGAGCATGAACTTTTCATTATGCAATCCCAAAACGTTCTGCTCTTTTCCTTTTCTTTGCCTGTAACAAAAAAGCAAGAAAAAAAAATTAGATTGCAAAACAATAGCAGATTAAGTTCCTGGAAGCTTTAAACTAAACCCACATTAATGGTCAAAAGGCCCAACAAGAGCCACACTTTATTCCTGAATCCCTCCACTTATAAGAAAGGTGAGAAACTGAAGTCAAAACACACCCTTACATAGAACATAAAGGCTAAACAAAGGGTGAGGAGGAAAGAAGGTTAAGGGAGAATGGAGGATGAAAAGAGTGATAGAAAAGTGAAAAATTTCCCTTATAATTATTAGGAAGATGGGAGATTTCAGAGGACAAAGGGATAAACAATACTCTCCACAGAGCAGTTAAAATGAGGTCTCCAGTCCACAAAGAGGTAAGGTGGAGAAGAGAGAATGTTTGCAAAAAAGTATCCTTACTTATTATGTGGCTCTCTCTCTCCTCTCCTTTTTCTCTCTCCTCTCTCTTTTAAATCAAGCCTCATGTCTGAATTCCTTCAGGTATTCAGCTATTTTTTAGCAGCTCCTATCTTGTAAAGTAGTGTTATACAGGCCTCTAAGCATGAGTGATACTCTAATTACTTTTGATATCTACTTAATACCGGGGTCATATGGAAACACTATTGCATAGGTGAGCACAACAAAGCTCACAAGTTATGTATATTATGAATCTCTTAAAGAAGGCAGTACTGAGCTGGGCATGGTGGTGCACTCCTGTGATCCTAGCACTCAGGGAGGCAGAGGCAGGTGGATTGCTCTGAGTTTGAGGATAGACTGGTCTACAAAGCAATCCAGGACAGCCAAGGCTACACAGAGAAACCCTGTCTCGAAAAAAAAAAAAAAAACAAAAAACCACACACTTGTGTCCTTTAACTTCATTTGAAATACTGCCCCAGAATACAAGAAAGGATTCTGTCATCAATTCACATTACAGGTTTAATACAGATCTTTCCTTCCTCCTTCCTTCCTTCCCTCCCTCTCTCCTTCCTTCAAGCAGAATACACTCCAAGATCATTTTACTTGGACTAATGACAAAATCCCTTGAAATAAGACAGAAATCTTGTGGTCCATGTAAACTGCATCTTAGGTTCAGAAATTACTATTTCCTTATAGACAATGACTTGCAACCAAAGCCACGTTTCCCCACCTCTTTAACCTGGAGAAACCACTGTACCCACTCAGCGAAATCCCTGTTTAATAACAGCTGTAAGGAGGAGTAATTCTAATCAGAACTGAAGTAAGTTCATCTTGTTAATCAATAAGCAAGCAGATTCTTACTACAGATAGTATGTTATTTCAGTAGCAGAAAGTCTACAGGTGGCTTTAGTTCCTTTTCCTAGTGAAGAGCATACACTGACTTTAATTTTTTAGATTTATTTTATGTGTATGACTGTTTTGCATGCATACATGTATGTGCACCATACATGTGCACATAGGTCCTCTGCAAGAGCAACAAGTGCTCTTAACTGCTGAACCCTCTCTCCAGCCCTTGATCTACCATCTTCATGGCATATATACCTATTTATAAAGAAACTTAGGGAACAGAAAGATGGTTTGGTTGGTAAAATACTTATAACACAAACAACCATTAGGACTCACATAAAAGCAGAGTACAGCGGCACATGCCTGTAACTCTATCACTGGGTAAGGGGGAAGACAGACAGATTCCTGGAGCACACTGACCAGCCTAGCCCACCAGCGAGCTACAGATTCAGTGAGAGGCCATCTCAAAAAACAGAAAGGAAGACATCCAATGTCAACCTCTATGTTCTCTATGTACATCTGAACACAAACACAGATACTACACACAGAGGGGCAGGGAAAGCAAATGAAATAGAACTAAAAACCTTTCCAAGATTCTGAGTAACGAAATTCATTTTTTTAAGTCTCTACACATAAGATGGGGAGAATCACTGAAAGTTCAATGTTAGCTGGTCTACACAGGGGCTCCAAATCAGCCTAAGCTACCAGAATGAGACCCTGGTAAGGGGAGGAGAAGGAGAGACTGGGATGGGGAAACACTCTCAGTGGTTAAGAGTATTTGCTGCTCTTGCAGAAGACCCAAGTTTAATTCCCAGCACCTGCATCAGGTGGCTCATAACCATCATTAACTCTACCTCTGTTGTGGTCTCCATGGGAAGCTAACACTCACACCCGTAAATAAAAACAAAGCTGAGGCAGAACATGACTGTAGTCCTAGTACTCAGGACACTGAGACAGGAAAACTGCTTCAAGTACAAAGCCAAACAGGATGAAGGTGAAGATCCTGTTTCAAAACCTCATCAATACAACTGCCCAAACCTGGGCTGAACAAGGACACCAGTGAACATGCTGAAGTGGGCCAGGAAAGGCCCATGAGGCCTGAGTTCTACACAAAGAACTATAGGCAACATGGAAAGCTGGTATTGGCAGAGGTAGTCTTTCTCAGGGAAGAGCATACCACACCAATTGGTTGTCCAATGCCAAATGGTCAACCCTAAAAATATGCAGGTTATATTTAGAAATATGTATGTATGTACATATACACATATGCATGCAATAACAACTAGTGAAAAAAAGAAGGCATGAATTTAAAGGGGAGCAGGAAGAGGGTATATGGGAGAGTTTGGAGGAAGAAATGTTGTAATCAAATGTAATCTCAGCCTGACAGTTGGTGGCATATGCCTGTAATCCCAGCACTCAGGAGGCTGGTTTACAGAGAGAGAGAGAGTTCCAGGACAGCCAATGCTACACAGAGAAACCCTGTCTCATGTCCACCCCCAAATAAAAGAAGCTATTTTCAACTGATTCCAGCTGGGAAGGGAAATTTCAGTTTTCTCTATCAAACTTCATGCCCAAGAGTAGATGGCCAACACAAAATAGACTACAAGGTTTTTGTTTGTTAGTTTTTGTCTTATTGGTTTTATTTTTAATTTTTTTCTTTGAGAAAGAACATAAAAGTTCAGTGGTAGGGAGGTGGGAAGAATCTGAGAGGAGCTGAGAGAGGGGAAGGAATATGATCAAAATATACTGTATGAAAAACTTATTTAATAAAAAAACAAACAAAACACACTGGGCTTTTTACTTAGTAGCTTATGCCTAGCCTACTTCTTAAGCCAAAATGAGTGGCTTGGCCAGAGAGTGGTTAAGAGCCCATAGACTGGATTTAAGCCCACTGCACAGAAGGAAACATATCTGGTACTGTAAATTTGACCAAGAGCCCATGGTTGGAGTACTACAGACCTCCAGAATGAACCTACTATTATTATTCTGCTAAATGAACATAGTATCAAATTACCTTCTAAATCCCTCTTTACATACTCATAGATTAGTATAACCTTCAGACCTCATCACAGGGAAGTTTTTTGTACAGTGGATGGTGCTAAACTCACAATTGATCAAAATGCAGACATCTATGTCAATGGAGTACTAAGCCACAAACAGGACATCTATATCCAACCTCCACAAAGCTCGGGACCATTGTGGAAGAGGGGGCAGAAAGACTGTAAGAGTCAGAGGTTGGAGAATAGTCTTTTTTGACATGACACACATAACTGCTGTATTTATGGACTCATGGCAGCTATGGTTGCCCACATAAGACCAGCACAAAATCAAGCTAGTCAAGCATTTCAGCATAAGAGTGTAAAGAAGTTCAAGAGCCACCACCCCTAATTGAGGAGGTATGGAGAACTGATGGCTTCTGGGGGAAGAAGAGCCTGTTTTCTTTAAGGGTGCTCGTAGGGTTCTAGTGGATAGCCATGAGTATATGAATAACACAAATTAGACTCTGAGTTTGTTTATTAAAAATAAAATAAAATAAAAAAGATATGTTGGGAAAGGGTAGAGAGGTGGCAGTGAGTAGATCTGGAAGGAATAGGTGATGAATATGATCAAAATATATTGTATAAAACTCTCAAAGGAAAGGGAAAGAAAATCTAGCTATGAAAATAGAGGTACTTTTCCCTCTCCATTCAGCATAATTTTCCTTGTTTCCTTTTAAGAGCTCTGTGAAAGACAGGGGAAACAAGAGAACAGGTAGGAGTACTACAAGCAAGCCTGACAAACTGAGCTCAATCTCCAGAACACATATAAAAAGCCAGCCAGCCTCAAGTCAGATGGACAATGATAGAAACAATGATAACCTGCCTCACTGCAGAAGTCGAGAATGACTTCCCAGAGTTGTCCTGACCTCCACACGGAAGCCTTGACATGTGAGGGCATGTGTGTGCATGTGTGTGTGCTTACACATAAATACTTCTGGTGTTTTTGTTTGTTTGTTTGATTTTATTACTAGCTCCATGAAGCATTCTAAATATAGTTCACCTCTGTATCCTCTGTGGTTCCAGTTCCAGCTGAACTTGTCACAATCCCAAATCTCTCCTTCCTTTTTTTCAGCTTCTCATCATCTTCAGACTGTCAACAGACCAAGGCAGCAGTTGAAATAAGTTAGTCTCTTATTTACAAAGTTTACAGGAATAAAACTGTAATTTATTGGTGATAATATGCAGGAGCCAGGAATCACACAAATGTAAAAGAAAGATTAGAACATAAACAACCTGGGCATGACGGCACACCTATTTAGTCCCAGTACTTGGGAGGTAGAGGTAGGCAGATCTCTGTGGGTTGAAGGCCAACCTGGTCTACATAGCAAGTTCAGGAGGTCACACAGGGCCACGCAGAAAAATTCTGTCTTGAAAAACCAAAGAAAGAAAAAATAGGAAAAAAAAAAAAAAAAACATGGTTTAGATGCAATTTGACCCCAAAGACTCGTGCTGTAAGCGTGGGGAACACCCAGTGTGACAACAGAAGTGGCGAGGTCTTTAAGAGGTCAGGCAAAAAGAGCTGGCTAGACCATGGGTTCTATCATTTCACAAAGATTAAGGCTGTTCTTGTAGCTCCCTGAGTTGATTACTGTAAAAACAAATTATTCTAAAAAACAAAAACAAAAACAAACAAACAAAAACTAACCTGAGTCATGTTCTCACTTCCCGTTTGGAAACATGATGTTTCCCTCCTGTTTACATTTCAGCCATGATGTAATACAACCAAGGAAATGGGGGGCCCTGTTGTTTGAACGTTTAGCCTCTAAAACTGTGAGCTAAACAAGTTTCTTTATCAAGTCACTCAGCCTCAAGTGTTTTCTTACAGTGGTAAGAAACAATGTTGTATTGAAAATAATTAAAAACTTTTACTTTAAGGAGGGCCTCAATACTCCTAAGTACAGTGGAAAGTCAGGCATGATGATGAATAGTAGTGAGTGCAATGCCAACATTTAGGAGAGAGAATCAGGAAGACTGAATTTGAAGCTGGTCCAGGCTATAGTGAGGTCTCAGTCAGTATGAGATAACTAGCAAAACTTTGTCTCAAAATCTAAAAGGCTAAGACTGCCAAACCACAGTAAAGCGCTCATTGTACAAGCGTAGTAACATAAACCTAATCCCCGCACCCATAGAAGAAACTGGATAAGGAAGTGTGTGTGTGTGTGTAATTCCAACACTGAGTCAAAACAGACAGGCAGACAGATCTCTAGGGTTTACTGACCCCAAGTCAGCCTAACCTACTCAGCAAGCTCCATCCTGGCTAAGACTGTCTTAAAAAACAAGGTGGAGACAGCTAGGTGGCTTAACCGATAAAAACCCTTGCCAAGTCAGGCCACTTAAGAATGATTCCAGCACCTACATAGTATGAGAATACTGACTCCACTAAGGTGTCCTGTGAGAGACTGACTGACAGACACACAGACACACACACACCTGAATAACATCTGAGGTTGAGGGCTGGAGAGATGGCTAAGAGGTCAAGAGCAATGGCTACTCTTCCAGAGGTCCTGAGTTCAGTTCCCAGCAACCATATGGAGGCTCATCAACCCTCTATAATGAGATCTGGTGCCTTCTTCTGGCATGCAGGTGCATATGCAGACAACATTATATACATAATATATAAATGTTTAAAAAAAAAAAAAACAACAACCTCTGAGGTTGACCTTTGGCCTCCATATATATGTGAGCCCACGTACATTTAAATAAAATGAAATTCCATAAAAAATTTTTAAAAGAAACACATGTAGAACAAATTTCTTTACTCAAGAAACACTGGCAATGCAGATAGAGAAAAACATTCCACTGAGTAGCTCTTATAGAAAATAGGAGCTACTATTAACCTCAGAGGTTAAGAGCACTATCTCCTCTTTCAGAGGACCTGAGTTCAACCGGATGGTGGCTCACAACCATCATGCCCTCTTCTGGCATGCAGCTGTGCATGCAAATAGCACACTCAAAATAAATAAATCTTTTTCCTTTTTTTTAAGGAATAACGAAAGAAAGGGGGGAGAGAGAGAGGGAGGGAGAGAGAGAGGGAGGGGGAGAGAAAGAGAGAGAGAGAGAGTCTGAACCTGCTCCTCTGGAAGAACAGTCAGTGCACTGCTGAGATAGTTCTCTTGCACTTAGAAGACAGGTGACAACTATAGTCACCTACCAGAGAGGCACTGGGTATTTTCCAAGCAGCTGTGAGATTCATGTCTGCCCAGTAACTTGGGAGAACATGCTGGACATTCTCTTAAAGCTGTTCTAAAGATCCAGGCTGCAGCCGAGTAAGGCAGCACACACCTGTAATCTCAGCAGCTGGACTGTGTACATGCTGAGATTTCAAATACTGGTGATTGGATATAATTAGAAAAGATAACAAAAGAGAAGATAACAATAGGATAAATAGGGAGGGAGAGGAGAATTAGGAGGGAAAGAGGGAGAGGGCTACAGCTGGGATACAAGTGAATGAATTATTTAAAAATAAAAAATATTAATTAAAAAAACAATAGGATAAATAAGTCATATTTAGGTCCTCATACAAATATACGCAGGCTCTCCATAAATTGGAGAAAATGCAGGTCTAGTTTTTTTGGTTTGTTTTCAGATAGGGTCTCTCTATGTAGACTACCTGTCTTGGAACTCCCTCTGTAGACCCAGCTACCTCCAACTCAGAGATCCTCCTGCTGGGATCATAGTAGGCTTTGTATGAGGTTCTCCTAGGTTAGATTTTTGTTTAAATTTTTAATGTTTTTATTTTGTTTGTTTCTTTAAATCCCAAGAATTCATATTCTATAGGCATACTATGTTTCAGAGTATTCTAAAACTACAGAGGCCAAATAAAAAATAATCAACAGACCTACAAATTCACAGAGATGTTCCAATACCCTGCTCTTTGAGCCCTAATCAAGAAATTGCCTTTCCCCCTGTGATCACAACAGCTACTTCTCTATGTAAAATCAGGGCAGCTATCCAGCATTCTGTGCTCAACTCAGCCCAGTTCTTCACAATCCTGGAACTCACTCTGTAGACCACCCTGGCCTCAAACTCAGAGATCCACCTGCCTCTGCCTCCTAAGCACTGGGATTAAAGGTGTGCACCACCAACACCTAGCTGAAAATTCTATTTTTTAAGGCCAACCTATTGTAAAATTTTTCTCAAAACAATCTTTAAAATTTTTTGTTACAGTATAAGTTTTAATATATAAATTTGTTGTCACCTTATCTGTTAGTTACATCAGCCTTAATTTTGTAATGTATCAAGATACTAAAAAGCTAAAGAAAGAAACCATTTTAATATAGGTATAATGTGGGAAAATATATTTGTGGCTTTATGCAATCTATATTAATCCATTCTAATCAATAGTTTTCCAAAATATAAATGGCACTTTACATGGAATAGAACATAACAGCTGGATGTCCTCATATAATTTAATATACAAGAAAACACCTTGTAGTTGGAATGGAGATAGAAATGTAGCCTTAGCCTGATTTTGAATATGATTAAAGAGACATAAAAATAAAGGCAATTTCTACTTCTAATTAGTACCTCTCTCCCCAAATTGGTCTTTTACTTGGCAAGAAGCAAGTGTAAGAAAGTTCATCTGTAATTTGTTCAGTTCTTTGTCTTTTGTTTATCTACACTCTGGCCAGAGAGGACTTTGAGGTTTTTCTAAAGTACATGAGTGCCTGCAGGGTCCAGAAAAAGCTGTGAATATAGTTCAGTGGCAACTATACTGGCCTAGCCTCTTCAGTGCCTTGGGTTTAATCCATAGTAATGTAGAAAGGAGCGGGAAAAGGAAAGAAGAAAAGAAGCCACAAGTACTGAGACAGAAGAGAGAAACACAAAATCGAGAGAGATCAAACCCAGTATGAGGCAAATGCTTAGAAGCAAAATGATACGGTTATAATTACAGAATTTACTTCACCCAAATCTGGTATAGTAGGGCACACTTTTAATTCTAGCACTAGGGAGGCAGAGCAGGAGGATCTGAGTTCAAGATCAGCCTGGTCTATACTGTGAGTTCCAGAACAGCTAAAGTTACAAAGTGAGACCTTGTCTCAAAAAATCAAAACAAAACAAAATATCCATTAAAAAAAAAAAAAAAAGATTTTTCTCTACTCTAAATACAACAGAAATATTTAAAATTATCTCAGCTGTCATAAGAAAGCAAAACAGAGGCACTAGATCATAACTACACACTCAAGAGCTTGTGACAATGGTTTGCACTACAGCCAGGGAGTAGGCACACAGTAAAGACAGCCTCCAGCCAATGGCTGCTAAAACTGTAGATTTTTTAAAAAAGTGATTCTCTCTTTTTTATCCAGCAGAATACCAACATTAATATCTTTACCCAAAGCTGGGTGTGGTGGCACATGCCTGTAATCCCAGCTTTCAGGGAGGCAGAGACAGTCGGATTTCTTCGAGTTTGAGGCCAGCCTGGTCTACACAGCAAGCCCAGGTGTTAGTATTTATTAAAAATGATGCCACATGCACACAACAAATGTTATATGAAAGAGTTTATTGAACGGAGATGGAGTGTGACAGAGAGAGAGACAGAGAAAGAAGAGAGGAAGAGAGAGAGATGGTGGGGGCAAGGGAGTGCCCGACAGAGAAAAGGGGAGAGAGCAAAGAGAAGAGCATGAGAGAGTGGGAGCGGCAGACCGCCAGTTATACCTGAAGTACTCGGCTCAGATAATGTCACAGGACACAGGTCCTGACATAGGACATTGTTAGGACCCTAACAGTCCCTAAGAGCAGGCCAGTTGAATTGCCTACACAATATAACACCAGGACAGCCAGGACTACACAGAGAAACCCTGTCTCAAAACAAACAAACAATAAAAAAAAAACCCAACTCTACCCAAAAAGGAGTTTGAACTTTTATTTGCAAATTCAAGTTTTATCTTCAAGGTTGAAATTTAAAAGAACATTTTTCAAAATTTCAAAATCAGCTTTATTTTGAATACACACTACTGCTCATAAACTATACTGAGGCTATTCACTTTGCCAAAGGGAGTCATTCCACTTTGATATAATTAGTGCCCTGTGAGCAGTATGTTTAAACATCCAAAACATTCCCCGTTTTCTTAACAGTGGTCTTACCGCTAA